GAGCATATTTGGGTAATCCGGACGAGGGTTCAAGGATAATCGTAACACTATTCTCTCCACCGTGATGCAATAATAGTTGCGTTCGCGTAGCTGTTAATTGTTCATGTTTAACCAAGACTTTCAGGTTTTGCGTTCGCGTACGCAAAAAACTTGCAAAGGAGGGAAAATTGAGAGAGCAAAGTGACATTTCATTTTGAGGGGAAGCTGCTGGTTTTTGCTGGAAAAATGTTTGCCAATAGCAATTTTCCAACAGGAAAACAGCTGATCAAAAACAGCTGGTTTGAATTAACGCAAATCACAAAATTATATTTGATGGTTTGGAAGTTAAAAATTACAAAATGCGACTAATTAAACTTGTAAGAAATAAGTAGTTATTTGTTTAATCAATAAACTGAGTCAGTATAACACTTTGTGATGACTTTTCGTATGTTTTAATTTTACACTTTTGAATGTAAACAAAAATTATATCAGCTGTTCGTCTAACTTGCAAGCGAGATTTTCCAGCACGTGAAGACGGCCAGTAAGGGAGCGGTGCGATAGAGACAACTGTCAGTTTATCGAACCTTGTGCGTTCGTTTAAAATCTCCAGTAAAAACCAACCAACTGCCAAATTCCGGCAAAATGTCATCTGTTCTCTCACAAGAGAAAAATATCCCAAATAGTACGCGAACAGAAAATTTGCAGAAACTTGCAAGTTATATAATTTTTGTTTACATTCAAAAGTGTAAAATTAAAACATACGAAAAGTCATCACAAAGTGTTATACTGACACAGTTTATTAATTAAACAAATAACTACTTATTTCTTACAAGTTTAATTAGTCGCATTTTGTAATTTTTAATGTCCAAACCATCGAATTCAATTTTGTGATTTGCGTAAATGCCAACCAGCTGTTTTTGATCAGCTGTTTTCCTGTTGGCAAATTGCTGTTGGCAAAAATTTTTCCAACAGCAACCAGTAGCTTCCCCTCAAAATGAAATGTCACTTTGCTCTCTCAATTTCCCCTACTTTGCAAGTTTTTTGCGTACGCGAACGCAAAAACTTGTAAGTTTTGGTTAAACATGAACAATTAACAGCTACGCGAACACAACTATTATTGAATCATGAATTGCACCATTATTTTCATCACTGTTTCAGGATACTGAAAATCGATAGGCGGTAAGCCGATATACAAAAAATTCACATCCAACATGCAAAATTGATTATTGTTAATACTCCGGTAAAAGTTTGTTATCCCTATTTTGAATGAAAATACATAACTTGCAAATTGTTTTATTGGATTCATAAAATGACTTGCCGTTTATGTTTAATCGAAATAGCTAACGGCATAACTATTTCCTCGGATAATGGCAAGAGTGAAATCGCTAAAATAATTTTTAAATATTTTCAAGTTGAGGTAAATTATGATATTTTCTCTTGTTTATAAATTCACACTATGCAAAATGTATGTGTATACATGTGTGTATATATGTATATGCAAATAATAACAATCCATTTAAGGTTCAGCCTGACGATGCTATTTCTAATGAAATTTGTTGTGAGTGCTTCAAACATATAGACGATTTTCACAGATTTTGGCTAGATATAGACGATAAACAAAGAAATCTACAAAAACATTTAGAAAATGCAGAAACGAAGCATCAGATAGTAGATATTAAGACAGAAGACTTCCCCATAGCACCATTCGATTCATACGTTTACGACGGGAATATTGGTTTACACGAACCACAAATTGATTTGGTCTTGGCACAAACAGAACTTACCGAAGATGAGGTTGAATTCGATGCAGCTGAAATGGGTAACGAAGCATCTACAGACGAGGATTCACTGCCCTCTACTGCTGAAAAGTCAAATGGGAAAGGTAAGTAAGCTGTGTTCATTGCGAATTGCTATAGTGTAGTGTTAAAGCTAATTCAAAAAGGAACATTTCTGAAGGT